GGAGCCACACAGCGAAGTGTCATTACTGGTGGAAACGGTAGAGGAAGATAATCGAACCAACTGAATGCATTCACCGGTTTGTCATTCGATCGAGACGGCAATCTCTATGTTGTCAATAACGGAAATCATCGAATACAAAAATTCAACATCGAAGCCAATAAGTGAAGGATTAGTAAGACAAAAAACAAGCTTTTTTATATTGTAAACCTCTGAATCACTGTATACCAGCAAGCATCGCCGGAATTCTTGAAAGTTTTGAAAAATTATAATAAAATGTACTGTAGAGATACACAAAATATCTGACCAAACTCGGTATGACCCCAAACCCGTTTCATCGCAAGAAATCCGAAATCTTGAAAACCTTGAAAAATTTCGACATATTCTATCATTAACAATCAATCAAACTGATTAAGGAACTTGGTTTTTTTAGATTTCTGATGATCCTTGCAACACGCCGATATCTGCAAAACAAATTGTTCTCTGGACATCCTTGGTCAAGGGGGAAACAGCAGAGACTTCAGTCGTGAAGTCCCATGAAATCTTGAAAGTCTTTCGAAGTCTTCTGAAGTCTCTTTGAAGTCTTATGAATTCTCATGAATTCTCATAAAGTCTCTTGAAGTCTCTGAAGTCTCATAAAGTCTTCTGAAGTCTCATAAAGTCTTATGAAGTCTTATAAAGTCTCATGAAGTCTAATGAAGTCTCACGAAGTCTCATGAAGTCTAATGAAGTCTCATGAAGTCTAATGAAGTCTCATGAAGTCTAATGAAGTCTCTTGAATTCTAATGCAGTATCATGAAGTCTTATGAAGTCTCATGAAGTCTCCTGAAGTCTCTTGAAGTCTCTTGAAGTCTTTTGAAGTCTCATGGAAGTTTTGAAATACATTTAGTGCATGAAAATTCATAAAAAAGCAATGAAATTGTCTTGTTTTCGACGGTCTTATTTTAGCAGAAAGGTGAACTTTTTATTGTTTGTTTGTCAAGGTACTGGAAAAAAATTCAAGTTTGTTGGATCTTAGAAAACATGATAGTTAAGAACTGAATGCTTTGTGAATGAAGTGGTTTATTTTTATAAGAAATGTTTCATTTATTCGATGTCAATCTTATGAAGAATTTTATTCCTTTTTGTTTATTTCTATCACTCGTGATAATCTATCAGCCGATAAACGGCTAGCTTCGTCGGTCAATAACCAACAAGTCGTTTGCTTGTGTATAAATTTAGTCTTGTTATTTATTTGCACCTGAAAATAGGAGTTTTCCAATGCTGGATTAATCGAATCAAACATACGCATACCAGTAAAGTTTATTTTCTCTGTTTTAATTTCATCAACGCTTTGTGTCATTGTCACATCTTTATTCTAGATATGGATATACTGCGAGAAACAATTCTCAGAAACAAGAAACACTTTTGTAATCTCTATATGATAAGTTTTGTTTTTTGCATGTTATAGAAATTTCATGTAATTTCTATAAGGTTTTTTGATACGCATGGAATCTGCCTCTTGAAGTCCTGTGAAGTCTTGTGAAGTCTTGTGAAGTCTCATGAAGTCTAATGAAATCTCATAAAGTCTAATGAAGTCTCATAAAGCCTCAAGGAGTCTCTTGAAGTCTCTTGAATTCTAATGAAGTCTCATGAAGTCTCATGAAGTCTCATGAAGTCTCTTGAAGTCTCTTGAAGTCTCATGAAGTCTCTTGAAATCTCATGAAGTCTCTTGAAGTTTTATGAAGTCTTGTGAAGTCTTATGAAGTCTTATAAAGTCTCAAGAAGTCCTACAAAATCTCTGAAGTCTCATGAAATCCGTGAAGTCTCATGAAGTCCGTGAAGTCTCACGAAGTCTGTGAAGTCTAACGAAGTCTTCTGAAGTCCCATGAAGTCTCATGAAGTCTTATGAAGTCATACGAAGTCTTATAAAGTCTTGTGAAGTCATTTGGAGTCCTATGAAGTCTTCAGAACTCTTTAGAACTCTTTTGAAGTCTTGTGAAAATATGAAGTCACTGCGGTTGAAGTCTGTTGAAGTCTTTTGAAGTCTTTTGAAGTCTTGAAGTCTTGAAGTCCGCTGTTTCCCCCTTGTCCTTGGTTTTTGCTTTAATCTTGATCGAATAAAATGCGATGGAATCCTTCAAATCCTTGGATTTCTTCACTTTACCATCAATCCTGACCGGTTAAAGTGCCAAGGAGTCCTTGGAATCCTGGTTTTCCTTTGGTTTCCGATAACTTCTGACTGTTCAAAGCGCAAGGCAATCCTTGGATTCCCTTCGATTCTACACTGTTCCAAGTACGAGAGAATTTTTAGAATTCTTAAATCCCTTGGATTTCTTAGCTTTCCGACCCTTCCTCACGGTTGAAAGGGCTAAAGAATCATTGGAATTCTTGAATTCCAGACCACTCTTAACTGTTCCAAGTGCCGAAGAATCATTGGATTTCTTTGAGCCTTTCGTTCTCGGCTATTCTAAACTGTGCCAACTGGCAAGGAATTAGGGATGACCCTTTATCTGTATTTTCTAAAGATAAATGATCCTTTATCTTTAAAAAATAAATAATACCCTTTTTTTCCAATCATTTATCTTTAGAAAATAAAGATAAAGGATTCCTTTATCATTATTTTTTAAAGTAATACTAAATGACTACCCCTACGATAAATCTAACAAAATGGAGTTTAGATGAGGAATGAGGACTGTGATCTTCCTTTGATTTTATTTAATATGATGGTGTCTGAAGAGAACTTTGACGGTATGAAAAAGTAAGAAAACATAATAGAATTAGTTTTTGTCATGTGAAATAGTTTTGAAAAAGGAAAATAAAACTTTAATTGATACATTTTTTTTTATTGTCGATCGAAGAAATTGACAAGTAAACATATACATTGGTAATAATTTCGCATTCAGCTCGATCTCTGATCCGAATATCAACACTTCGAATATTGAATCAAGAAAGACATTTTCTTTAAAATCTCGATTAATCTCTTGATCGATATTGAATTGGAATAGTTGTTGGTGAACTCTACTGAAGCAATGGCTCTTCATATTATACTATCATTAATGGAGAAATGAAAGCAGTATTCATAAAATTATGAATGAGTTTCTAAATAGCAATAGTTTTTATGTAAAATTATTTATAGATGTTACAGTTCAAACTTAGTTCCTATACCGATGATTTTACATCTGAACTACCATTGTGTTAACAAAGTTCGCCAACAACATTCGAATTCAGCGTCTCTCTCAAAGTTTAAACGACACGATTTTTTTTCTAATCTGATATTGAGCTTGATGAGTCTTTGATTAGACTGAACCCGAGTTTTAATGTTAGTATCTATCTATATATGAATATAGATAACCGTTTCGAGATTGAAATTTTTTTATAATTTACATCGTTCTCATGACATGTAAGGAAAATGCGCATTTTTAACTAGTCATTATAAACTAATAAAGTTAGCGATTTCCTATTATTTAAGTCTTTGTATCCATAGAAACAAGGCTTTTGAAATTTTTCTTCAAAATGATTTGTTGAAGGCATTCAATATCAAAATAAATTCATATTAACCAATTTTTGTTTACAATTTGCCAAGAACATCAAATATTTGAGATAAAATTTTCATTAGAAAATAGTAAATCAACAGATATAGCAAACATATGATGTTGTGTAGTTTAAAATCCACTATTTGCTTACCTATAGATTACATCTTTTGAAAATGGTACGTACAAATTTAGTCATTTTGTGGAAGTATTCAATAAATTCTTAATAATTACAACTCAAAATAGTATTCGGTTTATAAAATCATGCCTTAAATTTCACTTCCTAATTTCCTATTATCGAATAAAATTCTCTTGCTGATGATTGATGCATTCTCACATTTGTGATTTAAAATTGAATTCTGTGCACATATTTTGATATACAGTAACTTTAACAAATCATTTAAAAAAAATATTTGATCACTTTCATTTCTATGAAGATATCGATATGAAATAATAACCAATGATCAGCAATATGTGCATATGATAACTAATACAAAAATCATATTTTTCTAACAATTGGCTAATAGGGTCTGCAAAATCACATTTTTTTTCGTTCCGATCCCGTTAAAAATTTTCGTTTGAGTTAGGCTCCGGCAAAATGTTTTTTCTTATCTCAGGTTTCCTTTAAACGAAAATTTTTTTATTGGTTCCGACCTAGTTTTTGTTGAAGTTTTTTATAGGTTCTGCTCTCGATTTATTATTCTAAAAACATGCAACTTTATGGGAGTTTAAATATAAATTTTTCGACTTATCTTCGCAATTCTAAATAGCAATAAAGTTGTTTTTTTTTTGAAATATAGAGAACTACAATGACAACAATAAAGATTTCATACTTTAAATAAAGAAATAATAATGAAAAAATAAACAATCGAAAAGAACGGTTAAATCGCTATCGAACCAAATTTGTGTATATTGTACTAATTCTTCTATTTAAAAACCTAGACAAGTTGTCGAAAAATCTCAATGCTCGAAGTCAGAATAGAGGTCAGTGGAAGACATTTATCGGAATCATAATTAAAAATGGACGATTTGCAGATTCTTAGACACAGCAAATGAATAAACATAAAAATCTTTAGTCTGATTTTTTGGTAAAAAAAATGCATATGGATCAGTTTGAAAAGGTTAAAGTCTCAGTCTCATTAATAATGAACATTTTAGTCCCGAGATCGGAATGAAGACTACTTTGCAATTTTCTAGTGACGAAAGCTATATATGGAAAAAAAAGTACTAGAATACCAGGTCGATTGACTATGTCCATATATAGGAAATAGTTAGAAATGACCGAATATGAATGGTTCGTTTCAAAAGGAGATACGCAGTAAAATACTTTTCGACTCAAGGAGTATATTGATTTTGTTTCTTTGGTATAGTACTATTAGCGGTTATTTTTTAAATTTTTAATATTTATTTTATACATATGATATTGAAAATATATTTAAATGTTACAATTTTCATTTTCAATAGATTATATTCTTTCAGCAATCAAGAACGATGACATTAGTTTGTATTTTATCATCTGATTATTTTCTTTTAATTGGATCACTTTTTTTTTTAGTTGATGTAAAACCAGTTTCTTTGAATCAATCAGTTGAATATCGTTCTCATGTTGAACCTGGTCTATTTGCTACAGTAAGAACTTCATTTCTTTTTCTTTCGTAAAATTCACTTGTATTTTTGAAAGAAAATACTTATAAGTGGAAGCTCAAATCAAGTTTTTGGAGTTTCCTCCTCTTTCATTTCTAAGCTCTTAGTAACTGAATGAGAAAATCAATGACTATAGGATATATTACCTTATAAACAGACGAGAAAAGAAACTTAACCAGTAGCGTTAATTAAATCGTATTAGAACTCTACAGATTCTTATTAATGTGAATGTTGCAAGTTTTGATATATATGTATATGTAATGCAGCAAAGGGCTCCTATTATGAAGCATTCATCATCAATAATGTAATAGTATTGTTGATGCAGGATAGTCAGAACAGGACGAACATACATAAGTCTTTACTAGTTGAATTTTAAATTCAGGCGAAACTTAACAGCACATATGAAAGTTAATCGAGACAAGGATAGTGTATGTAGTAACTTATTAAAAGATTGAATTGATTTATGTAACAAACTAATATTGTAGTTGAACAGACGAAACGTTGAATAGAATAATATCTGCTGTGTCTGTAGTATGTTTTGTATATATATTATCATTAGAAGAAAAGAAGTTATGTATTGAAGACACGGTTGATAATACAACTAAGTTTTTTTAGTATGACATGGCATTAAATTAATCAAATAAACGGATAAAACAGTACTTCTAAATGTGAACATCTTAATAGTAAAGTTTCAAAAAACGTTTTCCACTGATAAAAGTTTTTGTTATTTCCATTTCATTTTTTATTCATTTGTTATTTTTTTTTAAATGAATTCTGTTAAACTTTCAGACAATTTACTCGAAATTAGTAATAAACATAGTTAGTGAGTTCTCTATTAGTGCGTTGCATGCAGTCGTATTGACAAGTTTTTGCTTTAAATTTAAATATACGTAAATCAAATTTTATGTTACTCTTTTTAATAAAATAATAACTAAAAAATATTTATGAAAAATTGTGCCAATACAACGTTATAAGAGGTCGAAATGTGAAGCTCAAAAGTTCTGACTATTATAAAATTATTGTACACTGACAGAACTCTTAAAGTAACGTTTTTTGATAAAAATATGAAATAAATGAGAATAAATGAAAAGTACAAAAATTTTTTTATAGTTGATATGTGTAGTCTAAAATATTTTTATGAATTCGAAAATGTTTGCATTTAGAATTACTCTTCTATCAATCTGTTTGATTCATTTAACACCACATCAAACTGAAAAAACTTTTTTATATTACCAACCATATCTTAAATATATAAATTCTTTTCTTCTTATAGTAATCTAAACGACATATGTCTCAGAGAGCGTCAATTATTAGCTCATTCTTCATTTCATCGATTCAAATACTATATTAACCTCTTGTATTCATTGATTTAATCGATCAGTAAACGTCTAGTCACAATAGAGGTGTAGAATCTACTATAATTTTGAAAATGTTCTTCCAGCAAAGATTTGTTTCCCTTCACAAATTTTTGCAAAACTTTCGTAGAAATCAAAATATTTCCTCTAACACTAGTGGTGCAGACGGGCATATTCTGAATACTTGAACTATATCAGTCTTTCTTTCGATGAACTTTCAGTGATGCACCGATTCGGTTTGGTTCCAAATATTTGGAACCGACTTTCATCCAAATATACATTTATATATAATTAACTTTCTTAGAGTGTTCTAATATATATCTTTATTTCTTATTCTTTTCTCCTCGTACTTCTCTTTCTTTCTTTTTTCTTTTACTTTCCTATGCAACCGTGACAATTTCAATAAATTATCACTGTTTTCTTCTGTCCTAAATTTATGGGTATTCTAATAAAAGAAGACGTTGGAAATCATCTTCTTTATATAAAATAGTTTATGTTAGAGTAGAAGACACTTACTCATCTTTCTCCTTGTATTTCGCTTTTATATTTTTCTCTCTCTTATGTATGAAAATATATGTATATGTAAAAAAAGAAAAAGGAGAATGATAATAATTCGAATAAAATTCAATCTTGGTTGAGTTCACTCGAAGATTTTACAAATATTAAGTTTCATTACAGAGAAAGATATTTGTAACAAATATATATACTAAGAGTGGATATAGAAAGTGTAGCGAATTTCTTATATTTATTCAACTACTCATTAGTTTCATTTAGTGCACTCTTTTATAGACTACATTGTACTATGAAGCACTCATATATAAATAAGTATCAATTAATTATCGTGTTATAATAACTCTTAGCTGATGACGAAAACATTACTGTCTTTTTAACATTCGAGGAATATATAATAATGAACATTTAAGTTAAGAAAATATCATCTAAATGATATTTTGAAATAGATCGATAAGTAAAGTCTGAAAATATCATTGAAATTGTCCATTTTGAAATGATAGGTAATTTATTTCTCTCAATTTTAAATTCTTTTTGTCATATAAGTCTTGTAAGTTGAGAGTAAAACTAGATTTAATAAGATTGTAAATAATTATTATAAAGTATTACTTAATATTCTTCTATTAAAATGAGTGTACCATATAAAACGTAGTCCCTATATCTTTGTATTGAATAACGGCAAAAAATACTCTGAAAGGTTCTTGATAATCGGCAAAATTTGACTAACTACAGAAAATAAACTAGTCTTCTATCATCGAAATTTTTTTATTCAACATTATTCTACAACAAATTTCTAGTTCGTTTTTAGAATTATTAATAACGTTTTAAGCATATCTTCAATAAACATTTTTAGAGGAATATTCTTAGAAAAAAAAAATTAGCTGTTAAACCCTTATCTTCTTGATTTTCGAATCAGTTCAATTTGGTTCGATTCCAAAAAAACACGAATCAACCTTACCACTGTGAACTTCGACATAAAGTATTGATTTTTACCTGAAGGTAGAATTCAATTAGTTTATAATTTTTTTAATGTCTATTCTACTCTGACTCTAGCAGATCCATAATACCAGCAGCATCCTATTGATACGCTATTAGTTACTTGGGTAACGATAACTATTCAATTACTAGTTGTCTGGTAACGTAACGTAACGGTAATTTTTCTCCTCTGTTAAATGCAACAGTTTGCAATATTTACACTATTTAAAATCCATAGTAAAAATTTTAGATTCATAGAATGCTTTGAGAAACTTGAGAAAGTTTCCAAATGATTTATGAATTCTTATTGCTAACACGCCTGTTCCAGTTACAATTTTCTTATTTTTGACCTTCCCTTCATTTTTCCGACAACCTATAAAATTACTGTCGATACTTTTCCTGTCGAATGCTAACACTTAAAGGAGAAAGAGATGAGCAGTGAATAAGGAAGCAGCAAAAGTCTCGAATTAAACTTCCACTCATTATATCTTCTTCAAAAGTATGTGCAAATCCCACAAAATGCTGTATTAATATATAAAGGTTCTTATAGACTTATGTTATATAGAAATCGATCAACTCCAAAATAAGATAGATTTCCAATGAAAAATTGAATTTCGAAGAGACATTTCATTTAATTTGAAGAATGAGATATATTACATTTTATGCCTTAGATTATAAAGTTAATGCTAAGACTAGGCATGTATCGAACTCACACGTTTAAGGCTCATTTTCTATGAGTTTAATAACGAATTTCAAAATCATATCTTATTTCTGTAATAATGGAATGTACATGATTGATAAAAGAAAAAAAAATCCGCAGATACGAAGTACTCAATAACAAATAAAGTAATGAAAAATCTAGCAAGGAACTAGTCTTAGTGATCGATAAACAAAAAAGAAAATCTTTATAACTATTATTAACAAAAGAAAAAATTTTAATTTTTCAGAATTAATATGTTAGTATCAAACGATTTCTTTTGTGTTCACGTCATTTTTTTCAATGTTTTGAGTTAAACGTAAACTTTCACTCATTTTATTTTTCAATAAAAAAATATTGCAGATTGTCATATTATATAAATGAACAAGTTTATCTAATTATTGGTTCCATTCGGCAATCATGGTTACTTTTAAAATAAATACAAATAACAGATATATATATATATATATATATCTAACATCATTTCTTTCTAGTTAAACATAATCTGATATCATGCTATCTATGAATAATCTTAAGAATATGTTCCAATAAAAACTTTCTTGTTCTAATTTATTTTGCATGTAATATGATTATTTAATTTATTTAGTCTTATCGAGGTGTAAAATACATCAATGATTTAGTAGCTGATGCTGAAGTAGAAAAACTTAATCCTGGTAAGAAATTTTTTTATCATAGAATATTTATTGATTTTATTTTAGTGATGTCACGTGATGATGAAATTCAACAATGTATTGAAATTTTAACAAGACAGACAAAGAATAATCCTATTTTAATTGGAAAATCCGTGAGTGTTTAATATTGTTATTTAGTTTTCGTAAATGAATATTTTTTTTTCAATAGAATGTTGAAAAGAAAGCTATTGTTAAAGGTTTGGCAAAATTTATTTTTGATCAAAATATTCCTGATACATTACCAAAACATTTAATTGAGTTGGATATGAAGTTATTAGATGGTAAGATTTATTATAGACATGAAAGATTTACTCTGCGTAAATAAGTTTTACTTCTTAAATAATTTAACTCATGATTGAAAAATGATGAGAAAAACTGTTGATACTATTTTTATATTCGCAGCGATTTCAGAACAAATTCAAGTTTTGTATTTTTATCGAAAAAAAAACAGAATAGATGAGAATGAATGATGATTCTGGTGTATATGACTCTGAATATATTCTAATTGAAAGAATCTTGAAAAAAAGTCAAATAATGTTAGCAAGAATGCTAGGTCATATTCTGTGATTACTCATGATAAATCTCATAAAATCAATGAAATAATACTTGAATGAACAGATATTAAAGCATCCGAAATAAATCATTTCAGTAAAGTTTATTATATAGCAATCATGATTCTTAACTTACTCGAAATATAAACTGTTTGTACATATTACAAAGCTTTCGTTTCTGATATTTAACATTTTAATTAATTTAATAAAATATTTTAGTTGATACAAGTCATCGTGATGCATTCGATGAACGTCTCAAATCGATTTTAAAAGATATTGATAATTTAAATAGTAATATTATTTTATTTATTGATCAAATACATTTAGTTCTTGATGTTGAAAAAACAGAAGGTATGAAATAGTGTCAAATCTTGAATAAATGATTTCATAAATTGTTGTTGTTTGTTTTAGATACAATCAATGCATCAGATATATTAAGATCATTATTAGGTATTTTGTTTTTTTTATTGAATTTCATCCTACAAAAATTATATTTTTAAAGCTCGAGGTCAACTTCATTGTATTGGTGCAACATCATTAGAAAAGTATCAACAATTTATTGAAAAACATCCAGAAAATGAAAGATATTTTCAAGAATTTTTTGTGAAAGAGTCATTAATTGATAATTACTTTCCAATTTTATCTGATCTTCAAGATTGTGATGAATCGTATTTTTCTGGTACGATTGACTCTGTTCTTTTTCAATATATGTTTTAATTATTTCATTCAGTTTAAGCTGTTGTCACTAAATTACCGAAGGTTTTGTCCTTATTGGTTAATGTTCTTTTTTTCTTCTATTAAAAGAACATAAAAATACTTTAGTATCTGTTGTAAATAGTTGAGCAATATAGTTCTTCTAGAGAAATGGAAAAACGATCTTGTTTTCAGCTTAGGTTCTCTGTACGATGATGGTTCTAGAGAAGACGAACTATGAAATTTTGTAGAACGAAATTCATTCTACGTTAGAATATATATATTATTGTGAATATATTCTAGTGAGTTACTATAAAGAAAATGATCAAATACTAACTAACTGAATTTGGTATAAAAAAAATTTGTTTTTTCAGAATATTTGTCGAAATTTCATTTAGTGGTATTTTTTGTCACAAGTTTTTAAAGCAAACTAGAATGAACTAAAAGTTTAGATTTAGAAGTTTTTGATAATATTCTTTCATTCAAAATAAGAAAATTCGACAGATGAGAATTTTCACGAGTTTAACATTTTATGAAAGAGTTGTGGATCGTCTCTTAGCAAGTTTATATTAAACCTTATTGAAACAAGAAAAAGCAAATAACATTTTTTTTATTTCACAGAAGATATTGGTTTCCAATGTATGAGAACTATAAATTCACAATATTTTCAAACCTTATAAGTCTGTTATTGATCTACTCAAAGTCAAATCGTAGATTGAAATGATGTCAAGATGTTAAGATTATTTTCTAGTAGATTTGAGTTTCTCTTTATTATTGATAATTTTTTTTCACATTTTCATATGAGTTTATTATTAATTTTTCGTAGTTTATGCAATAAAAAACATAAAGATTTATTTTTCATTTTCGTACTTGGTTTAATAAAGTTTGATTTGCTTATCAAGGAAAAGCGTATTTTAGTTTTTACTAATGACCTGTTGAGATGGAAAAAAACCAATAATTTTAGAAGAGGTGAATTTTGTTGTAACAAATGTTTGTTTTTCAAGAACATGACTTCTCAAGAATGTTTTCTTTTTTTTTTCACTCGATCTGGACAGATTATTCGCAGAAGCTAAAAAACAAATATTTCTTTATAAGCAAGTTAAATTCTATCAAATTGTGTGCAAAAAAAAAGAAAAGAACTTATTCGAATTTTCTAATGCCTATATCTTATAAAAATGAAAGATTTATTTTTAGTTAACCAATGGACTGATATTCTAAAGAAAGAATCATCTCAAACAGAAGATGATCGTTTATTAAAATTAACTGAAAATTTACGAAAAAAAAGTTATTGGACAAGATGATGCTATTTATAGTATTGTTAAAGATATATATAAAAATCGAAACAAATTCTCAAAACAAAATCAATCAGTTATATCATTTTTATTTTTGGGTTAGTTAATTGAGAGAAAATAATGAAAGTATTATTATTTTATTTTGTTTTTTATTTATTTTTACAGGTCCAACTGGTGTTGGTAAAACAGAATTAGCAAAAACATTAGCATTCGAACTATTTAATTCAACAAGATCAATGATTTCTATTAATATGATTAAATGTGTAGATATTCAATCGGTTAAAGAATTAATTGGTATTTCATCAGGTTAAATTTTTTTTTAAAACTTTTCTTTTATTTATCTCAATGACTTATTTATTAGACGATGCTTCTTGTCAAAGAAATATTTCATTAATTGAATTTGTTCGCCAACAATCGTATTCTATTATTTTATTTGACCAGATTGAAAAAGCATATTCAAAACCTTGGAGTTTTTTATTAAATATCATAAATAATGGTTATCTTAATGTAAGTTTATTTTTATTAATTAAAATATTTAATTAATCGATTTTTAGGATGAAAATGGTGAAATAGTTGATTTTAAAAATACAATTGTTATATTTACATCAAATATTAGTGTACAAATTATTTCTGAAAGAATTCAAAATTCATCATCAGCAACGAATAATACTGATGAAAAATTATCTCAATCGATAAAAGATGAAGTTATGAAAAAAGTTTGTTTATTTTAATGATGTTCGCTTAGCCTATGAAATTTATTGTTTGTTTTTATTTTAAAGGTACATTTATGCTTGGAATTCGAACTTTTAAATCGTTTAAATAATATTGTTTTTTTTACACCTCTTACTATTAATCATCTTTCTTCTATCATTTCTCTTCAATTAAAATCAATTGAAGAGCATTTCAAAAATCAATTTATTACCATCAGTTTAACAGATAAAGCTATTCAATCATTTATCAACAAAAACTATAATCCAAGTAAAATTATTCTCATCTATATAAAAATTAATTTTTTTATTTACTACTGTTTTATAATCAATGAAGAAAAATCTTCTAAAGTATAATAACGATTTATTTTATAACAAATTAAAAAGAAAAAAACTTTCAACTCATAGATCAATGGAGTTTTGATTTTGATGTCATTGCCGACAGGAAAAAGTAGTTGAAATTCCAAGACTTGATAGCAAATAATTAAGACATTAAAACATTTATCTCTCACACAAAAAAGGCTGTTGCTGTTATTTCTAATCACGTGAAAATTATTTTCTAAGATTTATTTTGAAACACATTGCTGCATCATCTTTTAGTTAATTCTCTAGAATTACAATAAAGTACTTCTTAATAATAAAACAACCTATGTATGTGTGTGTGGAGAAGAGAAAAGGTGAGAGGATTGTAAGTCTGTATTCTATATACTTTGACATTCCTCTTATATCTTATTCTACAAAAAACTACGATTAGTACCATTGATATTAACTGTTAGTCAATCATGACTTTCATCATAAATTAGGTTAAAGAGGGAATGATTTTAACTGTCCATTCGCTTTTGAATTAAGTTCTGTATATCAGATAGATCCTATTGATATATGAAAACCTCCATAAGATTAATTGCCATTAGTTCTTCTATCCGGAGTTGTAGGCATTTAACCACAGGATTGGTCCATAACATGATAAATATCTCGAAGAATCGAGTGAACCTATTTTGAGCTGAGATTTTGCTGCTAAATGGGTCTATTAGTGAGCATATTATTCGAAAAATTTCAGTTCAAAAAATGATTCCTTCTCAAGACATCGAAGTTCCTGAAATCATTTATTTTCCACGAAATTATGCTAGAATTTTTTTGGGATTTCCATATATTGGAAAGGAAACATCTTTTGAGCTGTAATTTTCAGGATAATATGCTCACTAATAGACCTGCTTGTTGACAAAGTCTCAGCTCGATATACAATCAATTGATGTTTTGCTATATATTATGATATAGACCAAAAATACAGTAAACTGCCTATAACTTTGAGCAGAAGATCTAAGGGTACTAAATCTTTTCGGGATTTTTCATACATCAAAAGAATCTATCTGATGCACAGAACTTAACTCAAAAGCGAATGGACAGTTAAAATCGTTTCCTTGTAAGTTCAGTTGTTCATTAGCCTGATAATTACTTCGATTATTGCCATCACCATAACTTTACATGCTAAAAATTATTTTTTAGAGAAAAAAGAAAAATTAATCATGAGAGAAATAGATAATCTTTATGCAGATTATCTGATTAAGTGATATTGATATCTACCTGTTAAAGAAAATGATCTTGTTAATGATCATTTAGCATTCGTTCGACGATAATCAGAAAAATTGACTTATAAAAACATTAGAAATTTCATATAAAATTATGAATAAAAGCTTGTATTCATGTTTGTTAATATTCTACTGGTAGTGGTTACTATTGATCTTATCAATATAGTGGCAGACTCAGGAGGTGATTGAAAAGAGATTCAGTCCTCTCAGAAAAATTTTTGAAGCATATATGTTATTTGACAAGGCAGGTTCAAAAATCTCTCAGAGTAGACTCAACTCTCTCAGTTCAAAATTCTGACTCCACCACAACATGAACTGCCTAGTATAAGCTGCCTAATTCGACTTCGAATATAAATGAAGATTCAATTGTTTGGTTTGTTTCGAAGATAAATGAAGCAAACATGTACTAGAACTTCATTGCATAATAGGAATACATATTGATTTACTTATATGCATTTTTTATACTATACATGTATTTTTTCGTGTAAAAGTAGTTGTTCGGAATAGATAAGAATAGATTATTTCTTTAGTTTAATTCAATTATAATTCATCTATATAGACATAGTATTTATGTATAATTATGAATAACTAAAATTATATCTTCGATTAGGATTAATTATATGCTGAAATTTGTTTTTTAAACTGACATTTACATTCAAAATCGAATCAAGTAGCTACCCATTCACTGACCTATAATAGAGACTTGAGAAAATAATATCTCATCAATAAAATATATTCTTCTTTTATTACAGTTACTTATTGAAAGAAAAACACTTTTTAATTGCAACATACTCTATATTATGAATTGTTGCCATTGACAAAAAAAGAGCTCATTACTTCTTCAAATATATCATACAAAATTAATAAGTCCATCTATCTGTATTATAAATATTTCATTTTTCTTTTTCCATTATTAAAGATTTATTTTTAACATTGTTTATTTATTATAAGAGCTAATTCTGGTTTTCTTTTGTTTAAAATAGCTGATGGTGTTCGTTTATTAAAGAATTATTTTGAACACTACATAACAATAGAGCTTTCAAATTTAAAGATAAAAATGAAACTTATATCACATTGTCATATTACATTCGATATTTATTCAAATGATCAATACCAACTTACTGTTCAAAGCTTACCATAACAAATTGTAAGTCCACTAACAAAATCAACAGATAACCGTATGTAAATCAACAACTAATATAAAAGTATTTTAAAAGTTTTTTTTTTATTCAAAGATCATCGTACTCATAAGCAATCGGATGAAAAATCCATCATAGATATAGATAATGGTGACAATCAATTTAATATTAAAGATCACAATCAAAATTCACCTTTAGTTTCATCAAAACAAATGAAAAAATCACCAAGTGAAGAAAAATATTTATCTAATCATTGATGTTTAATTTTATTTCTATCAAACAACAAAATTGCCAGTCAACATTAAAAGAAACATATCATTTTATTCTCTAAAGAAGTTTTCATGATTTTGCTCTTATTTACTCTTCTTGTTTCAAATAAATATATAGAAAATTTGATCGAAAATTGATTTTTTATAGATAGATTATTAACATTAATGTCGTTAGAAATTTTTTAAAATTACAATGCATATATGAATATACTTTAATCAGAATATCGTTCAATATCTTAATTATAACAATTAGAAGATGAATAGGTCTCCATGACTATATATGCTACAATCGTATACATAAGATATACATCTACTATCAGTTTATTTTTAAAGTTCTCAGCACGTTTTAAACAATATATTGAACAATTCGCTACTAATGTGGAACTAAAATGATGAGTTTTTTAATAATTAAGAAAGATAATCATCGATATTGAAAACTTGTTGAATATATTTTCAAAGATCAAAGAACAAAATAAGTACATAGCAAAGTTATCGTAAAATTATTTGGACGGATTTGGATCTTGCTTGATTCAGATATGAATATAAGATATGATTGTATGGTTAAGTGTCGGGATTTTCTATCCATTCATACTCAAACTCTAGTATTCAGAAACTGAAAGCATAACATAGCACATTTCTACAGTGAATGTGTCGAATGAAAAATGAAGGATAAGAGAATCTAAAAAGATTAAAACATATTCTATAAAACCCAATCAGTCTTTGATAGGCTCTGAAATGAATTGATAGAACTCTAATTAAATCTAGCAGACTTTTCTAAAATTTAGCATGGATCAAAACTTAAAGTATTATATTGTCTGAATTATTTTGTTGAAATATATGAACAATTTTCAATGAAAAATACTGATATATGTGCAATAATTCTTTACACGAATAAAAAAAATCAATTTTTGAATAATCTATTGTCAGATTCGATATATATCGCTAATCGAAATCTACTAAAATAACCTATTCTGCAGATTTTAATACATTCTAATGGGCTTGGAATGCTTGAAATTCCATTTTCGATTCAAAATGAGAAAATATATAGTTCTTCTATGTTGAATAATGTTTGAAATATAAGTGCAAGTACATTGTTTCCTTATTCATGTTTTGTCTATTAAGCATTGTATACGCGTTATGCAGTTTGTCGTAGATCGATAAAGCCGAAAGAGATATTTCAATTTGTTTACAGTGTTCTCATCTATTACAGAGACAAGATAGATTATTTCAGTTTTGAAAATTTTTATATGTTTCTAAAAGTATTCTCATATTCAAAACATTCAAATTAAATTAGAACGAAACAAGTAAATATCGTAGAAGTTTTTTCAATTTATTAATATATTGCATATTAATACAAAAAAACAAAACAAAACAAAACAAAAACAAATGATCAAAGTTTGTTTCTCACTATATTTCTATATTATATATAATTATTTTATAATAACAAATATTAAATTTATATCCAAAGACGAAATCTTGTTCTTTCAAGAATAAATTTACTAGTACAAAATCGTTTCTGTATCATGATGCGATAAGCTTCAACTTTCTCATTTTCAATCAATCCATAAATATCTAGAAAGAGTAATTGTTTCAATTGTTCTACTAATTGACAAAGATCTTGTTCAAAAATATTAACATGTTGAACTAAACAATTGAAGAATTAATATTTATTTTCTTGTAAGTCTTTTTCATTTACATACCAATCGATTCAAATGTCCGTAAAGATCTTCTCCATTGTTGAGCCAAAATACCATAGTACGCTGGTTTGAAATCTGGTCGAACTTGTAAAGAGAAAAGCATTTTAAAACTTTGCATAAATTTATTTTTTTGCAATTAATTATTTTAATTTTATTAAATAAGGATGAATTATCACATAAGACCTTTTCAATGCTCTACTAACTACGAGAAAAATACCGTCCTGTTTGCGACGAGACGATAGTCATTATTTCGGACCTGTTGAGAATAGAAAAACCAGAAAGATTCGTTTCCATGTGCTGCCATTATCGAGTTACATTCATTACAATGGATTTTTATCTTCGCTGCAGTATTTATTGCAGAACAAACAATATTAAGTACTACAGTTTTCCGTTCTTTTATTGATATATCATAGTTTTTTGTGGAAACCAATATGTCGAAAATAGATGTACTACATTAAAATTACTATTAATAAGTGAACATTTTAACAAGTACTAGAGTAATAAGTAATAATCACTAAACCGTCATTCAGTAATAATCATGAAATATTTAATTACACATAGAAAATTTGGTAATACTTCGTAAGGATATAATCTCAGTACGTTTTCAAGGACAATTCAGAGATGGTCCCTATATATGTTCAATCGCTATCTGATAATTATCTCTATAGCTTTCTTAGATGAATTTAGAATTAGCATCGGTATAAATTTTTAAAAGTTATTTCGAAACTGTCTCTATTACTTTCTAAGAATTCCTTAACCCTTTCCAGCCGGCTACTAAAAGACAGGTAGCAGGAAATTCTTTTCGTGCATTTTTGTTGCTTTTAGATCATGGAGATAGGAAAAGTTTATTCTTCAGGACCAATAAATGCTTCGGCATCTAATGGCTTGATGTATCCATTTAAATACATCCGGTCACTAGAGGATAAAAATTTTGAAAAACTTATCTTTATTTTTGTCTATCAAAATTCAATGTTTTATGCTTATCTTACATCTAGACTTGTAGATGTAACTACAGGCTGTCGGTATGTGCATGTTCTGCAAGCCAAAGCTTAAACACTTATAGAATGTTCTTGAATTTTCAAAAATTTTCTGGAAAAATAGGGCTAATTTTGCACTATAATGGAGTCTTAGAACATTCTACAAATATTTAGGCTTTGATCTTGCAAAACATGGGAAAACAGATGACCTATGGTTACGTATACAGGTATAATTATATGTAAAACAAACCACAAAATATTGAATATTGATAGACAAAAAAAAAAAGTGTTTTCCAAGATTTTTGTCCCCCAGTGGCCGGATGTATCCGAATGGATACATCCCTATTTTTTATTATTCACATTTTTTGAATAATCTGTCTTAGTAATGCAATAACCAAAAGGCCTATGAAGGAAAATTAATAAATAGTTGTTTCGAAGCTAAATTATTTAGAGAAACGAGAAAATGATTATTTCTATATGGATGCTATTTTGGAGCATTATGGACGGAACTGGTCGTTTTTTTAGTGAATGTTTTTTTTCTTCTTCTAAACATATTAATGTATGTTGAAATGTGTTAACTTAATTATTAAATTGCCAAAAAATTTCATATCATCATTATAAGTCAGTTTTTCGTAAAATATTGGCTTAAGGAGAGCCGCCTCCGCTCCTCTTCGAGGTTTCTCGAGAACGATTCGGTGAAATTTTCTGAAACTTTTAGGGTAGGTAGATCTCGATGAGTAGAGTAAAAATTGTCATAGACTCAGAGTTCGAAAATGCTTCCTTCCCAGAGATATTTGCGACCCAGGAGCGAAAGATGACCTGAAGTTTTCCCCTGCAAACTCTTATACTTCATTGTTTAGGGCTAAAACTTTTTCTGCAGAAACTAGGAACGAATCGGAGTGTGCCTTATTTTTTCTTTGGAAAATATCGTTCCTGAGCGTCAGGAGACCCAAATTACACACGGCACTGTTGAACAAATGTGGTTTTTTTCGTTTTTTTCTTATAGTGCCAATTTTGTGCTACCTAATAAAATTCCTTAGGAAGAACATTTTCGAGAGAAAAGAAAAGACACACCCCAAATTGTCCAAAGTATTCACAGTAAAAACTTGAGCTCGATTGGTTGGAGTGCGAAGGGAGAAAAAGAGAGGAAACTTCATTTTTTTGCTGAAGAAACTGATTTTGAGAAAGACGCAAAGAAATTTGTGTTTTTTGGTTTTTTTAAGCATGTTTTGTGATTTTTTTTTCGAGTTTTTTTACATATAAGATGTGGGTTTTCAGTTCTCAAGGTGTGCTCAATGGATAGAGGGCATTTAAATCTATATCCTAATCACAAAAAATGAAAAACGAAAAATGTGAAAATTTTGGGTCGGGAATGGGGTGGAGTTTCCCTTAATGTATCTAAATGGATACATCAGACCGCAAAGGGTTAAGAGTGGTTCAGAAGATATTGCTCTTTTTACCTGTAATTTTTAAGAGAGATTCTAATGATTTCAAGAGTTATACATGAGCAAAATATATTTATTCAGTTTTTTCATAAATATCACATCTATGGTAAAGACTGTAGTGTAATGCTCATAACTCCGGTAGGTTAGCGTATAAGAAAGTTTCTCATCTCAATAGATTTTAAGTAATAATTGAAGCATCATCACAAAACATGAAGATGTCACTTCGAATGGTTCTTTCACTAGTCTATTAATTTTTCTCAAAGTTAGTTCATTTTATTGTCAAACGTTTTTCTACGCAAATTGAATCGATATTTTCAAATAAAAACAAAATAAAAAAAGACTTGTTAGTACACAATCTCTATAGACCTTATATTTCAAACTCACATTTTCTACTTAGCCTTGTTAAACTGATACAAAGGGTGTGGGTGGGTGTGGGTGTGGGTGGGTGTGGGTGTGGGTGGGTGTGGGTGTGGGTGTGGGTGGGTGTGGGTGTGGGTGGGTAGCTAGGGTGGGGTGTGGGTGTGGGTGTGGGTGGGTGTGGGGTGTGGGTGGGTGTGGGTGTGGGTGTGGATGTAGTGTAAGTAAAGAACGTTCCACGCCCACACCCACCTGCTCACACCCGCACCACACACCCACATCCACATCGCTTTATATCATCCTTTCGTAAGCAGACTAAGTTATTTCATTTCTTTAATTTCTTTTTTGATGATAGGAATTGTCCATTCGTGTATTAACAGTTTTTATTAATTGTCGAATAGGTATTGATGAAGTTTATCAGGCTGTTAATCAAGGCATTACCATTAAAGCAGTCAGTAAAGAGAGAATGCTGCAAAAACTGTTTTTAATCTCTTTTGCTTTTGTAGATTCTATCTGGCCTAATATTTTTACTTTCGGCATTGGACATGGGCTGTTATAAGTTTACAACAATCAATATCAATAGTATACGAGTAACCGGAAATTTAGCTAAACCAACATCACCAACTGAAGCTAATCAAAATTCAGATTTACTTATGAACGAACAAGTGCTT